CACTATTTGTGTTATATCAAAATATAATGTAAACATTTTGAATTACTTTAGAAAACTAGTTTACGTGCTTAGTTATAGACACACAGTCACATTCATATACTTATTATATGTATAGTGGTATGCAGACGTCACTTGATTTTGATGTCTGCATACCACTATACATCCCGAAGAATTCCGAGCGCAGCTATGGATGCTGTGTATTTAACTTTTATGTAGCACAATCCACGATATTATAATTTTTCGAACGTAGGTATTATTACTATTCTAAATAAAAGAAAACCCTAACACAGGCAGATAATCGGGTGCATAAGTTATACAGTAGAAAACTCTTACAGCTTAGCAATAATCGTACTATGGTATTAGTTGTAATTTTAATAAAAAATTTTCTATTATTAATACAGTAATGCCTATTTAAGAACAATAACTACTGGAAATTTCTGCTTTGACAACTTTTGTTAGTTACTAAATTAACTAAACTATACTGTGGGCGTAACAGGAGTGTTATATCGCCATAGCTATCGTAAATTGCACTTAATTATTCAAAGTAAAGCTGTTTTTGCATCGAGTTACGCGGCATTAATCGACGTTTTAAAATACAGATAAACATCGGCCTGCCGATTGCGTCGAATTCCGAAAGATACCGCTAATTGCTAGGGCAAATAGATACAAAACATAAAAAGTAAATGGTTAATGAAACGAATATTAACACCCTTTTTTGCGTAATCTAAATGGCATTAGTGTGAGTATGACTGATAGCTGTAGAAAGCTGAAGCATTTCTCTAAGTGTAATTTTGCTTTCATTTTTTACTCTAAAACTCTAACAATATTTTGTAAAAGAATTAACCTTTAGGTCAGTGTTTATGACAAGGCGTCGCAGCATTAGACTCTGTTGGAATTGTTCACTGGTAGAATGAGGTTGTGTGAATTTAAATTGAGCGGCATTTTTTTAACCTTTACCTGTTTAAGAAGTGATTGAAATAAACGTGCTAAATCGATCAACCTTTATCAACGAGACGTGAAGAATTAAAATTCACACAATACTTTACATACCTTCTTAAATATCGACCACTCTACTTTTTTGTTTTCAAACATGGACACACCACAGACGAAAACTTGCGAAGAAAATGCCAAAAATGTCCACGCAGTTTGTAGTTTTTTGCAAACAGTATAAAGATTAATTAAAAAAATTTCAAATATAAAATTTAACAATTATTTCGATTAGAAAAAAAATTTCATATAATTGAATATTTAATCACGTAAACGAGTATAAAATTTGGTATTAAAAGACAGAAATTGTCATTTCTAAGAAAATTAAGTGACTTTAGTAATTTCCATTTAGTATTTACATTTTTACAATCTGAATATATAAATTATTTTAAAACTGCAAACATTTAAGTATTTAACAATTTCATACATAAGAAAAAAGTCGAAATAAAATTAAAAGTATATATTTAGCAAATGAGAAAATAGTTATATTCGTCTAAACTAATAAAATTTTAAAAATATTTCCTCACTTTTCTTTCGTATTCTTCGATCGTTTTTGTGTCGATAAAGATGTATCATTTTCATTTTTGATATTTTCGCATTCAGTTGTCTTGAAACTCCTGCTTCTGTTTCTGTTTATCATCGTACACTAAAACAAAAAATTAAGACTTTGTTATTTCTTAAATTTAATTATAATAACATTATTATATTATAATTCCTAATTATGCTTCTGGCAATAATATAAAAATGCCATTTTCTGCTTTGTGCGAGTCAAATAAGACTGTCAAGACTTTAGGATTATCAGAAAAGAAGAAACCTTCATTATGTTTTTTTAAGGTGTCTGAATAAGAATTACATGAAACTCCATCCGTAGTAAATATTCATTTAAAAATAAACTGTATTTTTTTAAATATTAAATAGGCATTGTCGAAAACCACAGGCTAATTCAGTGAATTGCATCTTTTGTTGTTGTCCGCATAAGTGACACGAACATCGACATAATATTGTTTTGGACAATTGAAATTTCAATAAAACAATATTCGAATTATTCTTTCACGTCACACCGCTACAAATGCTTATTTCAAATTTACACATTTACATATTCACATTGTGTAGTTACTGTACATATAATACACAAAATTCGGTCAACAATATTTTTAAGGTATTGAAATTATATAAAATATAAATATTGAGATCACACGAAATAATTTTCTTAAATGTATACTAATTGCGTATTGAATTCTTTGATGCTGCATTTTACTTGACTATAGCGTATTTCGAATAATAATAGTAATCTCACCTGTCTCAAATTTTTCACTTTTAGTGGATTGAATGACTTGTAGTGATGCTGTATTCATATTATTAACAAAGTTTTCTTCCTCAACGTCATCTTTCGTGGAAGATATTGATGACACATCACTTTCAACATTCATTTGTTGAATTTCGTTAATTGAGTCGACGACATCATCGGAATGTTCACTGTTTCTTAATTCGCTATCTGTGTGGACGGAATCATCCTCTTCTGATGATGCATTTTCGTATTCAAACTCGTCTTCTTCATAAATGATTTCATTTACAAGAGAAGATCTTTTAAAATTAATAAAATTCCATTTTAACGGTCTGTGAATGTAGATGTCGTCCACTGTTTCCGTGAATTGTTCCGAAGAATAATCAAAACCTTCATTCCTACGCTCATAGAAATTCTGTAAAATAACGAAAAATAAATATTTATAAATTTCGAATTTACTTAAAAAATGTTAAATTCATATTCAGCAATTTTATTGCAAATTAATATATTAAAAATTGTATTGTATGTTTAATAAAAACATGGAAACTAGAAAGTGATTCTGATTTCTGTTAGGAACAACATTCAAATACCAAAATATTTTTTAATTAATTGGCATAAAATTTATTTAATAATAAATAAATACATTACTCTAATTTATTTTTCGGTGATAAAGTTTAAAGAGATGTAAGAATTATTTAGTAGTCTATTAATATAATCTATAAGCTTACGTTAGAAGAAAATCCTTGGTCATCGGAAATATCAGAAATTTCGTCGATTTTTCTTTCTCGATTTCTATTCGAGGGTATTTCTGGTTCGATAATTTCAGTAATATCAGTATGTTTGGTGAAATTTCCTGCATTATCCTGATCCAAGTGGGAAGAGTTAGTTTGACTCGTGTCTTTGACATGAGTTGGACAATCAGAAACTAAAATATAAAAGAAAACAGAGTAATTATTAAACTAGGTTAATTCAAATATTATATAACAAGATTTTAACGTATATTTAGAATGTAATTTTATAGCAAAAACTAGATATTTATAAATATAAGAACACAATAGATATTCGGTATGTTTAAAAAGAAACGCGCCAGAGAATTTTGAAGGTAAAGCATCAGGATCAAATATATATAATGTGCTCGCTTTATGCTGGATAATTGGACTGCAAGTTGAAAAAAATTGTCGACTTATAAATTTTCACTCTTGTCTGTCAGATTATGAGTCTGTCTTTTTTCGATTTCAAGAACGGAGTTATATATAAGAAAGCCGACAAATAAATACTTTAGGAGCAGCATACCCAAATAACTATATATGAACTTTCGATGCAAACCGAGTCACGTTATTTCCATTCAAAGATTTCCTCCCTAATGCAGTTAGATAGATGATATTATTGTTAAAAAAAATTATTATATACAGGAGCAATCACTAGTAATTTGAGGTGGAAAGCGTATTAAAAATTTATTTAATTTCAAATATAATTAAAAATTGCAGCCAGGCTTCGTGAGGATGTCACAACAAACAATTGCTTGTTTTGGTTTGCAACACTGCCAAACGCAAATTAAATAAACAATACTCGTGTGTATTCCGTCGAATTACTTTCAAATGTAAGCCCAAATCTTCAGCTCTGTAACAGATATTTTGTAAAAATTGAACTCTTTAAAACTCTCAGACAACAAGAGAATGCAATATTACCAGTTTCATATTGTTAATTTAGAATTATACAAATAAGAGGAAAAAAATGCATATATAAAATCGAGATAAATTATCTGAGTCTTACAACATTATGATTATTTGATGAAAGAAAACGAGAAAATTTGCAGATATTATCTTATCCTTAAATGGAAATGCGCTCTTATCGTTGGAAACGTGGCTTAATTATGAAAAGTCTGCATTATAGATATTTAAACGTAAAAAATAAAAACTAAATTTCTGTTTGTGACGCCTATTTAATTTTCAATTTATTGTCTAATAACAATTAAACCAAAAAATATTTTTATACTACCAAAATCACAATAAAAATGAACAGAAAATAATGTATAATTTCAATTAACAAAAATAATTACATCTGATAGCCTTTGAAAAATGTATATTGTTTCCATTCGTTTAATTATGAAAACTAAATTTAACGCTATAAATGTATTTCGCAATGTCAATAAATAATAAAAAGTGCAAGATGTGGATGGAACAATATCGAATTGTTCCATCCACATCTTGCACTGGCCCATATTGATAGAATCCAGGCGCTGGCATATATTGAG